CGAGTGATGACGCACGGGGCGGCCGAGTGGTGATGACGTGACCCGCGGAGTGGCGACGAGCGGGGCGTTCGAGTGACGTAGACGCGTCCCGTAGAGTGATGATGCGCGGGGCATCCGAGTAACGTAGATGCGTCCCGCAGAGTGTCGATGCGTGGTGCGTTCAAATGATGTTGACGTGACCCGCGGAGTGGCGACGAGTGGGCGTCCGAGTGACGTAGACGCGTCCCATAGAGTGCTGACGTGCGGGGCATCCGAGTGACGTAGATGCGTCTTGCAGAGTGATGACGTGCGGGGCATCCGGGTGATGTAGACGCGTGCTGTGAAGTGACGATGCGCGGTGCGTCGAGTGATGTAGACGCGATCCGTGGAGTGGCGACAAACGGAATGTCCCAGTGACATAGACGCGTTCCGGAGAATGGCGACGCATGGGACATCCGGATGATATAGGCATATCCTACGAAGTGACGACGCGCCGCGGAGTAACGATGCTGGGGCGGCCAAGTGATGCTGGTGTGTCCAACTGAGTGGCGATGAAGACGTGTCTGGCTGAGCGATGGCGCACGGACGGAGTCGAGTGACGACGTGCGGGTGGCCGAGTGAATGATCCGTGTTGGTGATCCAATAGGCAGGAAGAGCAGCTGCACGTCCGGGGTGCGGTCAACCTCCAGCTTCCGGCTACTTCCCGCCGCGGGAGTTGCCCGCCGAGAGGCTGATGCCGGGGGAGGAGCCGCCGCGTGTGTGCACCGCGTCGAGCAGTCGGGTGACGAGGAGTGCCCATCTCCAGTTCTTGCACCGCGCCGGGTGCGCTCCAGTCCCGTCCTGGGCAGGTTAGCTGTCGGAGTAAACAACCCACTTAAGCATAAAATTCATCCGAGTGGTCCGCCTATCAACGAGCTTCGTCTGGCCATAATTTACGTTAGAGATCCTCATCAAGTGGTGGATTGACTAGGGCAGCCAATTAACTCCTCGCAGAGTAATGAGGCCCACGTCCTTCCATTCTTAAAGCGCATGCAAGTGGGATACGCGTTGCTGCATGTAATGGCAATTTTCTTCTCTTCACCATGCACTAATTGACATTGATTTGACAATCAAAGTAGTTTCCTTTCTTGGTTCTTAATGTGCATGCAAGTGGCAAGTGGGATATGCGAGACGAGGAACCTGCATGCACGCGTGACAAACGCGAGACCAGTCGCCGAGCAATCGACGCCGGCGGGAGGAGGTGGCCCGTGGCCATGCGTGGGAGTCCGACGACGACGTGGTAGATGAGGCCGGAGATGTCGATGGGGCGGACCGTGCCGGTGGCCATGTTCAAGAGCTCGATGACGGCGTCGTAGACGAGGCCGGAAACGATGAGAGGCAGACCACGCTGGTGGTCGTGTCCGTGGGCTGGACGACTGCGCTGTAGACGTGGCCGGAGACGACGCGGCGGACCGCGCCGAAGGTCATTTGTATGAGCTGGCCGTCGACGAGGCCGGAGACGACGCCGCGGACCGCGCTGGAGGGCGTTTGTACGAGCTCACCAACGGTGTTGTAGACGAAGCCGGAGACGACGCGGCGAACCGCGCCGGAGGGCGTTTGTACGAGCTCGTCGACCGCGTCGTAGATAAGGCCGAAGGGCGTTTGTGGCGGTTGCCAATGGCAATGATCATGTGAGATGGTAAGAAATATGGGGAACGACTTGTCCTTTTCTCTTCTTCTCTGCTTCATGGTCGGTCATGCATGGATGTGTCTGATCCTATAGAAGCAAAAAATAAACTCCTTGTTAGACGATTTATTGTAAAAAGACTAGATCGAATGGATACTTCCCTGATCGTCTTGTTTGTGTGAATGGCACAATGGCCAGACATCCAGCGGCCAATTTCTCTGGTGATGGTCGCTGATCCGCTGCCGAATATTGAAGAAATAACCATTTGCATCATGCCTTGATAGACGTGATGCCCCACGGTGGGCGCTAACTGTCGTGGTTTTAAGTCTGACAGTAATGTAGGGGGATAGGTATGGAGAGGCAAGATCTTAGCTATGGAGTAGTTGTAAGCACACGAGGTTTACGAGTTCATGCCCTTCTCGGAGGAAGTAATAGTCCTACGTCTTGGAGCCCGGAGGCGGTCGACTGGATTATGTGTGTATGAATTACAGGGGTGCGAACCCTTTACACTGAGGAGGGGGTGGCTTATATAGAGTTCGCCAGACCCCTCCAGCCCTCAGTTATGCATGGTTTCAAATACATTAAGGTCGGGCGTTACTGGTAACGCCCCTAATAAAGTGCTATGATGACCATAAAAACTACTTAATGACCGACCGTTAGCGTGCGGAGTGACTTTAGGTCTCCTGGCCGTCGAGTGGTTGGATCTTGGTCGAGTGATTGCTTCTTGGTCGAGTGTCTTCGAGTCTGACGAGTGGAACACCTCCAAGTCGATTGAAAAGTGATTTCTTCTAGAGATGTCCTTGGATAGGGCAGTTAGGACAGGTCCATGACCCTACCCTAGGTACATAGCTTCATCACCGACCGTGTCAGCGGATCAGGCTGATCTACCGGAGGATCGGGCATCGACACTAGCACCTGCTCCGACATCGGCACCAGCTCTACAAGAAGCACCATCTCTGACAGCAGTAGCGGCTTCGGCACCTGCACCAACACTTGCACTTGCATCTGCTCCGGCCCGTGCAGCGGCAACCGAACGAGCAGTTGCACCGCCAACAGACTGTGCTGCAGTTCGCACTTCATATACCAAAGTCCTTACAAAAACCGACATGTCCACCTTCTTGGTAAGCATTGGCCGCCCAAGTGCTTCGTTCTTTTTTCTTTCCATGTTGTTTCGCATGATTCATTGTGTTGATCTAACTGTTTGGGTATGTCTTCTTGTTTGCAAACAGAGAATTCCTAGAGCAACGAGGGAGTCGTTCAACAATCTGGGCGACAGCAGCCAAGTTTCTCTTACCATGCGCAATCTTGATGTGAATGAGCTTGCTCAATATACCGTAAGTACAAAGGATGGTCACATGAGGATTGATGCTAAAGGATGGTCAAGGTTCAATTCTAAATCATATCTTGCGGTAGGGGATGATCTCAAAATCAAACTTTCTCGGCAAGGAGAGCTGGTCCAAATCAACTTTGAAATTCTTCAGTAGCAGCACGCAACTGCCGAACTGATCTATCCTCCGAGATATTTTGATGTAATAATCTGGCATGGTGAAACAGGTGTCCTGTGTGTTTAAGTAATACGACAGTATTATTTATCACATGGTATATCGTTGGTAGAATTGCAACTCTCATTCCTGGTTAGGAACTATCATTCGATTTCATTCCAACAGCTGCCGTGCTTTATTCAATTTTGTGTATTCGCCTTGCGACAACATCTAAAACCAGCGCCGTAACGATCGCTTACAATATGAAAAGCGCTGAGGTAGAACACATGGCCCCCCAAACATGCAGGGTGGGCTTGCGGCCCAAAGTCCAGAACTGTGAGCCTGTCTGACTATTATATTCTCAACTGAACCCCCATAATGCCCATGCGTTGCACGTAACATCAAGATGTATTTGTATGAGTATTTTATCTTGTGAGAGAAAAGGATAAATGAGGGAAGGCCTTATTTACAAATGTGGAGAGGTGTGTGGGTACCTTTTTGCCAAATTGCCATAGTTTCCTTCCTATCTGTCAGATATAAATCAGACGGCCGATATTGCAGGATGGCAGGCACACCATCATCACCAACTCGTCTATACTGTGTTAAAAACAACTCTGTTTTTTATAATTATATATGTTATATATATTCCCCTTGATTTTTCTTATGTATAAAGTTGTGATATAAAAGATTTGTATATTTGTTTACAGAGGGAGTATCTCTCTGTCAAAAATATATTTATGTGTAACTAGTTACTCATGTCTTTCTACTTCCTTTCGCTGATATGTGGGGCATCCGTCAACGGGGTCCACGTGCCATATGCATAAATTAGAGTGCACAACTGCACGGTAGACACACCCCGGTCATAGCGCCGCAGTAATGTCCAATGAGCCGTCAAATCACAAACCCCCCCTTTCCAGCTTTAGCAGTAAGCTGGACGGATGAAGCGGCAATATTTCACTAGGCCTGAATCCCCTTCTCCCTCATCTGCTTGTTCAGAGAAAACCCCCTCTCGGCGATTGCATAGGGTTTTCTCATGGAGAACCAGGTACAAATTCTTCATCCATCCCCGATAAATCCAAGTCCCTTGGTCGCGGGTAATCCTAGGATGGCAGCCGCCGCCTTTGATGCATTTTTCTTCCTACTGAATCTAGTGTGTTTCATTTGCAGTGCCCAAAGTGTGAGGACCCTACAGGTTTCTGTGCCCTCGGCGAGACGCCACACTTGTTCCCTCTCATCCTAATACATGATTTTAAAACACGCACAATATGTTCCTAGAATCCTCTTTTCTATCCGGGAGGGTGGGGTTTTTTGAACATGCTGTCAACTAATTTGGAAATTTGGATTGCTATATTTGGATAAAAGGTACTACCAATACGATGGTCAACACTGACGTGAAGGAGGAAGTTATTTCTAGATTTGGATAGGGAATACATTGTGTTCACATATTATTTTTCCTATAGTGCATTAGTTGCTATGCCAGAACACATGTACTCAAGATGCTCGCCCTTGCCATAACTGAATACACCAGTTTAATGGTCATAGTGAAGACAAGCCATGGATATAAGTTTCGAGTTGGGTTCATGAACCAACAAGATCGCTGCTTTTTTTATGGACGAACTTGGATAAACTTTCTCAAGTGTTACAGACTGAAAATTGGTGCACGAATGTTGATGGAAATAGCAGAACCTGGTCTCACCATCACTGCGATCTTCCACCCCGACGTTGTTCCAATTGTTCATCCATGTTAGTTCTGTATCTGGTTCTTGCTTGTTGCCTCGATTACTTCTTAATCCACCTGTTTTGTCTAACTAATCACAATTTAACTTTAGAAGTGGCAACGAATCTCTCACGAAGATGCTACTTCTAACTAATATTTTCTTATAATTGGTCGCACATGTAGGTTTTTTCAGAATTAAGCAGACTGCTCGTTTGTTATTCTGTAACAACTCAGCTGTTACTGATGGCACTGAAGTTGACTGGGACAACATCCACAAGTTCCTACACTTTATTGATTGTCTTGAGGTCCTTGTGGGGCGTTTCAATGGTGGAAGGCCACGTGGGATATGTGTGATACTGCTGCACTCGTTGAATAGGTCCAACTTTGTCGAGAAACTTATGGTACAAGCTATTTTCTGTTATATATGGTGTTCATAAACTATTGCTTATACACAATTTTACAGTTGTAATCTTCTTGAAACAGAAACTGCCCAGTTCTATTGTTCCTATACAGATGCCTGACCATTGTCGGGTCAGACTTGCGCTTGGTCACAACATGATGTTTATGTCGACCTACTCCATTCCCCTTGGAGGTGAAAAGATACTTATTCATGGGTGGTCTCAAATAATAAAGTCCCATCCATCTTGGAGAATAGGATAGAAGATTATGTTCCTACTTTTTCATGGCTCTAAAGCGAATATCCTGTTTATTGACCACATTGCAAGATGAAGTCACTTTCAGAAGGTTGTGGATGCGTGGGGTGGCGCCTGGGCCTTGTCCTGGGGCTTGGCGGCCTCAACCTTGGTTAACTGTAGGCAAAGTAGCACTGTTCTAGGCGTGCTTTGTACAGTTAAACCTGTATAAGTACTCATACCGCTTTCAGCTATGGTTGTCAAGTGCCCCTGCTGGTTTCAGTTAAGGTTGTTAAGTACTCCTGCTGCTTTTACAGTCTATCATGTTTCTTCAGTCCTGTCTTCCTCCTGCCGCCAAAACCAAACCAGCGCCGGCAGGGCCGCCTGCTTCTGCCTCCCATGGTTGGTTGCGCCTCAGCGCACGCATCGCCGCCCCACCGTCTCCTAAATCATTAACACCGATGTCCGAGGCCTCGTCGTCGTCCATCGTGCGTTTTGGTGCGCTCACCGCGGCGCCGCCCTCTCGCATTGTCAACGTGGTCAACAAACAACAGGAATCGGTAGAAATACGTGGAGAGGATGACAGTAGGGGCCCACCATGTCAGCGTATGGAAAAATAAAATCCTTCCTCCTAGTGTTTTCCTGACATATGGGACCCACGACATTGTGAGCGTATATAGTCAATAGACAAGAGAACAACACAAGATCGACTGACACCTGGGGCGTAGCTGCTCGAGCAGTATTTTTTGTTATTGTTGAGACGGAGCAGGGCTTGAACTGGGCTGTGGCCCGTCTAGCCCAGGCTTATATTTTATGTTCACCATGTGACCAGCCCAACTATTTTTTCTTTGTGAAAATGAGCCCATTTTATTTTTTCTGAAGAATACCCAATCCAGGCCTACTTATTTTTCTACGCTCTGATGGGCTGCAACTCTTTCAAGACACCTACAAATCTTGAAAGTAATATGAAATGAGTTGAAAATATAAAAACAGATGACAAATTGGCAATTACTTTATAATTTCTGAATTTTTTTCACATTTTCAGATTCCTATTTCACTAGGCATTGGCCTAATTTAAATATATCTTCAAAGTACTTTAAATCTGGCTCGACATTTCGGTATTAAAAATAGTTTGGAACCCACAGAAATATGCGAAATTGGCGCTGGCCAACCAAAAAAACGGACTGCAATAAATTGCATAAGAAGTCGCAATGAGCTATATATAAATTATT